ATATAAATTATCCAGTTTCTAAAACAGCATAGAAAAGAGGATGATTCATCAGTGTTTGATCTCAAGTTAAGAAAGTGTTTCAATTAATCAGAAATCATAGCAGCCATGAGCAGCTATTCCTTTTTTGCCCTTGCAATGAGCACTGAGATGCTGTGGGGAATTGGCAGAAGGAGCTGGTGTAAAACATGCCTCATCATCCCTGCAGGAGAATGTCTGGAAGTTGGGGTGAGAGGCAAGGCTACCCAGGCCTGTGCCCAGCCACTGAGGGCTGTTGTTGCACAGGGATCAAAAGAGTGGATGGGACAGTGATGTGTCCATGGCTTTCCCAGACAACCATGCAGCACTGTTGTGTATTCCCATGGCATGAGACTGGGGCTCGCTTCCTGGGCTATCACTCCAACCTGGCCATTGTCCTCCCACACCGCTGGCCACAGCAGGAGCCAGCCAGAGGTCAGTGCAATGAGGACAGGTTCTGGCAGCAGGAGCAGATAGAAGATACTTGGGTGTTGAAAACAGGCCAGGGACCTGGCTTTGATGATCCGTCTGCAAAATTTACTGAGGCTGAGGTCAGCCTATGAGAAAAGATTGTCCTTCCTACAGAGGAGTTTTACAGAAGGTGTGCTGAGCCCAGATTATAAGCCAGGGTTTTGCTTTCACCTGTTGATGAAGTAAGTCTAAATCCTCCCTTATCCTCACAGCTCACTACTTGTGAGGTAGTTTACAAATAAGCTTGGACAACTGAAGCAAAAAGCCTTACAGAGTGAGCCTCAGACTCAGAGGTTTTGGTTTGAAACAATTACTTCCCTTGCAGATGATTGACTCTAGCAATAGTAGGTTGAAGGGACAACCTTCTCTGCAATTCATGTTGTAGGTTTACATTCAGCATTTTAACACCCTGATACTTATTTCCATTTGGTCCCACGTCCCAGCTCCATGTCAAATGTAGTGTGGACAAAAGTGAGTCTCAGATCAGGATAAAGGAAGCTCACTCTAGGTAAGATGTGATGATACTAGTGGATGGGTGAGATGGAGAGCAGTGATGGGAGTGTAAAAGATGACAAGGACAAGAAGAGTGGGGAAACCTGTTAGCTTTTCAAAGTGAGAATTAAAGACCAACATTGCATTTTCATCTCGCAGCAGATGATTCAGTAACTGTGAGATCAGCCTTGCTTCTGCCTGTGCCTGCCCAGGAAAGGGCATTCCCATGGCATGCAAATCTCACTGCTCCCCTACTTGCCTGCCTGTGAGCACAACATAATGGAACCTAGAATGTTTTATTTCACAGACAGAAGAATAAGAACTAATTCTTTATAGATGGAGAGGGGGGAAGAGAGAGAGAGAGAGAAAGAGATGCATATATGGTAATTACCACATATGCCTCATATGCATTTATATATACGAGCATATGTTCTGAAAATATAAACCTTCATTAAAGGCAAAATCGAACATAAAAAATTTGTAACGTAAGATTTGAAATACAAGAAAGGTGAAAGATTAATTCAATAGTCTGTCCACACTTAATTAGAAAATAGGATGCTATGCTGAGTTCTGCTAATTTTTCCAATTCCACTTGGATGCGTTGCCAATGAATAATCTTACAGTGGCAAAATAAATCACTGTGTTACAAAGAGTCCTCATCTGCGATCGAAATCATTCTATTTACCCTGGAGACACACACCTATGAAAAATTTAGGAGGTCATCAATCACGGTCTCTCTTTCCACTGTTTATAAAGTTGTATCTTTGGATAAGAACATTTCCAGCCTTCTTGTAAATACTGAAATCAGAGCTGAGGTCTGGTATATGTACACAGAGGATCACTGTGCTCAGGCAGACTGCATCTCATCCCTAATTTTTGAAGTTACATAAAATAACTTTTCTGGGGCTGTCCCTGTTATCTGAATAATGACAATAATATATTTACCCTGGTAAAGTTACTAAAAGAGATATCAATGTACACGTGAATTAGGCTCTAGGTTTAAATATAAAGTATGAAATTGTATAGCACAAGACCACTAGAGAGCAATGATAGATGCATTCATTTCATGTGAAGTGCTCTGAAATTGTGCATACTCAAAAAATTGAAGTCTGTATTCTGCACAAAGTCTTACCTGGGCACATGTAATTTGCTATTTTTTTTGCCATTTTTTTGCTATTTGTAATTTGCCATCACACATTAGCTGTTTGTTATTGGTATAAGAATCACTAGGTAACAGTGTGGCAGCCAATGTAACACCATTTAATGGTCAGACTTTTTACTGGAAACCAAAGCATCATCATAAAATTCAAATAAACATTTCACCAGGATCATCACACAAGAGGTATCACATTAAGCCTACTGAAAACACAATTCTCTGAGGTGTGTTTCACAGGCAATTGCTTCCCAAATAGTTTTCCATTAGTGTTGAGATTCAAGCCACAACAAGTGCCTTTAGTCCAGTTCCTAATCCTTACTAAGGAAATGTCTGGGTAAGGACTCTGAAGACAGCTTTCTCTGCCACTTTCACAGGAAATGTCAACCCTTATTTGGGTCATTTGGATCTAATGATCTTTTCACTCATGACCAAAATCTAACAGTCATGGTTGTTAGAAACCACATGGTCTAACTGTAACAGAGGGATGGGGTCTGTGCCCTGAGCATGGGTAGAGAAGGAATATTCACCAGACACCCTGTACCTGCCTTTCAGCTCACATATTTATTCACAAGGTTATTCATAGCTATAAAACTGCTAATATCATGTCTGAGGAACAGGCAGCTTTATAGCTATGAGAACTTTGTGAATAAATACGTGAAATGGGGAGTTTTGTTTGTGCACAAAGGGCACTTTACCATGCTCTAGTACATTCCTAGGATAAGGACTGGGCAGCACAAAACCAGGAGCTTCAGCTTGTTTCCTTGTTTGAACCTTCACATGTCCTTTTCACATGAAAAAAATGAACTCAGAAAATCTTCCTAGGAATCAGCTTTGCTCATTAGCCATGAAGTGTGCTCACTTTCTGAAATGTTCATAGTGCAATGTCTGGCTATTGCAGGTCAAAGAAAGATTAAACCAGTCAATTTATTTTAAAATTGAGGAAGAGTGAGCTTGATCTATTAATCAATTTTTCACTTCCACCCAAACTATTAGGTAAGTCTGAGATAAAGTACTTTAATTCATTAAAGTCTCTGAAGACTGGAAAGGACCCCTTTTTAATTTTTCTTCTCTTGCTCTCTCAAAAAATAAAATCCCTGTAATTTCATAAGTCAAGTAATGATTACATCCATTTTGGTAAAATGTCGAATTAAAGAATTAGAACAGATAGGATATTTCAGTTAAAATTTGTACTTTCCATGGACTCACAAGCAATAGAAATTGACTTCATAGGAGGCTGGGAGTTCTCATGATTTCTGAGAGATACGAGCTTTGAGAATTTGCAGAATTGGCAAGCCTGGTTTGATATATCTGACCAGTGCTCTGTTATCACTATAGTAAACAGAAACAAAATAATAAACAAAACCACAAGAACACAATTTTTTTTTCCAAGACACTTCCAAGTTCACACATCAAAGGGAATGCTGCAAAGCTGCAGCTTGAAAATCTGATAGTTTGGTTTCTGGAGTTAATAAACATTGTAGTTTCTGCCAGCTTGTTGACAGTCAGAATGAGGAGCATTCTCACCACCCACACTCGAGGTGTCAACAGAGGTGCCCACTGCAGGTGATTGGGCTGCATGAGGTCCCTTCTCCAAATCACTCTTTCTCAACCACACTGAAGTAGCCCACGTTGACCAGATTGACCCTCAGCTCACTGGAGCACAGTCTTCCTTATCTAAGTGCAATCTTATAGACAAAGCATAGACATCCTCAGAACCTGGAAGAGCCTCATGCCTGATTGTGTTCTGGGGAGTGTCTTGGGTTCTCCCAATGAAATGAGAGAAATGAGGAGCATTTCTCTCGTTAACAGGGGAGGCCTGACATTAATCACGCTTTTATTTTGAGAAGTTTCTGAGTCTCTTTTGGATCCACAACTATATGCCAATGAACAGTCCTTAGAGAGGAAGTTTACCACTGCAGCCTAAATGGTAGCATCCTGGAGCAAGCAGAGTGGTGGCACTAAGGAGCCCCCAAGCACCCCGTTCTTTATCAAAAGAAACATTGTTAATTCCCACTAAACTCTGTCCAGACTGCCTGTTTTAGACTTACAGAGTGGGAACTGAGGGACCACCAAGATTAACTGAGAAGCCTCATGCAATTGACCTTGGAGAAATAAGATAGGGTAACCATGAAAGAGATAATAACCTAAACAATCACCTGAGCTGAATGCCAGCAGCAGCGCAAAGCTGTCGTAGGGGAAGGATGCCGGTAGGGATGTGCTGCTGGAGAGACTGGCCCAGTACTCTTTCTAGTACAGGCGTTCTCCTTTTACAGCAGCCAGCCCCGCGGCACCCACCCGGCCAGGCCCTCCTCCGCTTCCTGCATCCCTCACTTTTAGTGCCGGTGGGCTGGGGCTACCTGAGCAGCGGCACGGGGGAGACAGACCCGGGGAAGGAACCGGCCCGGGCTCGGGAGGCTGCCTCTCTGCCGGGCCGCCCGGGGCTCCGTTCCTGCTTCCCTCCGGCCCCCGGGCCTTGCCCGCTGCTCTCCCTCCCTTGCGGTGCCGCTCGCAGCGGAGAGCAGCTCTCCCTGCCCCGGGGGAGCTGGGCGGGGTGGCAGAGGCGAAAAGCGGCATCTGCACCCTTACATCCGCACCCGCATCCCGCATCCATCCTCACTCCTCGTCCGCACCCGCGTCCGCCGCGGACCGTGAGGGGCGGCCCCGAGGGCGCGGAGCTGCGGCGGGGGCAGAGCCGCCCCGCACTGCACTGCACCGCACCGCACCGCACCGCACGGCCCCGAGCAGAGCCGAGAGGCGCCGCCGGAGCGGGAGGCGGGGGCTGCTCGCCGGGGCGGGGGCTGGCACGGGGCTGGGACCATAAAACCGGGGGTAATTGCATTTAGGCAAATGAGGCTGCCTCGGCCCTCCCCGTCTCCAGGTATATAAAGTGGGGAGCGCTCCCGCGGCCGGCCAATGCGCTCGGAGAGCAGCGCCCGCCCTCCCCGCTGCAGACGGTGCGTGCGCTGCGGGAGCCCGGCCGTGCCCGTGTGCGAGGGCTCCGTTTGTCCTGGGGCTCTGAGGCGCTGGCCGAGTGCACTTCTCTGTCCCGGTCTGTATGTGTGTGTGCCTCTCTGCGGGGGTGCCTGTACGTGCTCGTGTGTCTGTTCGTGGGCGCCTCGGGATGTGCCAGTGTGTTTTTGTGCCTGTCCTTACGTGTCTAGATGTGCAAGGGGGTGAGTGTGCACTTCTGGACACACGTGTCTCTGTTGTGTGTGTGTGTGTGGACAGCTGCGGCCCTACGTGGGTGTGAGCATTTAAGGTGCGGAGCTCTTTGTATGAGTTTATCAGTGGATGGATGTGTACCTGGATGCGTGTGTGAGGGGGACGCATCTGGCTGCGTGTGTATATTTGGGAAGGTGTGAATCCTAGGTGTGCATAGACGTGTGAGGGTGTGTTTGTCTTCCCCTGTGTGAGTGAGTGAGGGGGCACCGCTGGCTGTGTCTGTGCGGGGCAGCACCCCGGGCTGTGTGCCGCTGTAATGGGTGAGGGCTGTGTGTCTGTCCGGGGGCTCTGCAGCGCCCGGGCCGGGGGTGCCGGTGTAACTCGGTGCGGGAGGGGCTGTACGTGTGAGGGAGTGTGTCCCCAGCTGTGCCCGGGGGCTCTGTGCCAGCGTGTGCGGGGCTCCAACCTCTGCCCCCGCAGGACCCCGAGGCGGCGATGAGGCTCCCGCTGGCTTTCGCCGTGCTCCTCCTGGCCTCGTCGCAGGCTCTGGGCGAGGAGATGGGAGCCACCGACGACCTCAGCTACTGGTCTGACTGGTCCGACAGTGACCAGGCGAAGGTGAGGCCAGCGGCCGGGGGAGCGAGGGGGTCGGAGCCGGGAGCTCCGTGCCTGGCACTGGGACGGAATGGGGGGTCCGCACTGAGCTCTGCCCGCTGTCGCCCCGCAGGAGGAGCTGCCGCTGCCCCTGGAGCATTTCCTGCAGAGGATGGCCCGGAGACCCCGGCCCCAGCAGTTCTTCGGCCTCATGGGCAAGCGGGATGCCGGTGAGCGGGGCGGGGGGCTGGCAGCTGCTCACGCCTCTTCCCCGCAAGCCTCTTCTCCCTGTGCCTGCCCAAACCTTACACGGATATCGCTCGGGATTAATGCGTGACATCCGCTTCATAGGCTGCCGTGAGGGTACTTTGGGTTTAGGCTTTTTTGTTGGGTTGTTTCTTTTAAGTTTTATATGAGATAAACTGACTGATTGGAAAAGAGAGGGCTTTAAAGTCTTGAGTGTGCACCTGTTTCAGCACATAACTCCCAGTAAGGGATAGCATGATAATTAGGTCAGCATGCATGCCACTGGATCACCAAAGTGTGAAAATTGGTTGAGTGTACAGTTATTGTCACGTTTTCTACGTATTAACTGAACCAAGAATTGATCTAGGAAATTTGAGCTAAACTAATCTAAATTGTGTGGATTAAGCTGAAACAAGTTTTAAGTCTCTTCAAAGAGAAATGCAGTTGTAAACCATCACCCTAATTTCTTCAGGTGGAATATGCGTAGGTTATTTTTTGCATTTGATTTTTCAAAGCATTGCAGTAGCATCATATGTATATGCCAATCCTTTTTTAACAATTCTTTTTGTCTTTCTTCTTTTTCCTTTCCTCTTCCAATCAGGATATGGCCAGATCTCTCACAAAAGTAAGTTAAAAAAATACAAATATTTTAAGTAATCATTAGAAGATATTCAAATAGAGAGCAGTGTATTTGACAGGATTATTTAGAAGGTGACTGGTTTCAGCTAGGGACTGGCAGTACTACTGGTGGAGAAATGATCTGTTGAAGAATTGAAACCTCCCCTTCAGTGCCACTGTGAGCATATCTCATCTGAGCTGCTGCAAGCTTTGAGATTTCAATCCATATAAATGTGCGGATGTTGCAGCTCTCCCTTATTTCCCAAGGGGGGGATTTTGTAAGCCTTTCTCATTGGCAAGGCAGGCTTACTGCCAGACTCTGAGAGGAGCAATTAAGATGGCAAAATCTGGACAATTAGAATAACGAATTCCCCAGTCCCCAAGAATGCTTTCATGGGAACGCCCATGTCCTCACATGCGAGGTATCTGTGCTCCCAGCATTGTCTGAGAACCAGACTCCCCCTCCCAGCAGGGGCTGACTGAGGATGAGCTGCCATATGAAGAGCCATATCTTGCCCCATTAACAAGTGTGCCTTGCTCTGATTCTGTCTAACATCAAGCAGGAGATGTCAGCACTGGGGTGTTAACTTGCTCTGCACAGTGGTAGTTTTATTTTCTGAAATTATCTCATGATGTCTAAAGAGAAACTGGAAGACTTTTATTAAGTAAAAAATGATCTATTCTGTGAAACCTCCTCTGTCCACAGAGGTCAGCAACTGTCCCAGTGTTCTATTATCCACAAGATGCTTTCTCTAGGATTATGTATTGGGAGATCAAAAACAGAGAGTCTGATACAAAGCTCATGCCAAATTACCTGGTGACTAAAGTAAAAAACTATACTTTTCTGAAGCTGCTTCAATGTATTTCAACATGTATTTGAATTAATACATGTGAGGTCTGAGTATCTTGCTTTGTGTATGAATTCACCAAGCAAAATTCTTTCCAAAGACAGGCTTCTATGTTTGTCTCAAAAGCCAGTTTAGATAAAGAAGAACAGTTAATTTTCATTCCTTATCTGAAACTGCAGTTACTACTATAACCTGATATGTACTGTAGGCCTAAACTTGGAGTAATTTATCCTTTACAGTTCCAGTGTCTTGGGGATTACTAATGGGACAGGAAGGTAATAACTTATAAATATTCCAAAAATAGAGCCAGACTGTCTAGCTCAGACATGTCCAGACACAGAGTCCCATTGGCTTCCTCTCCAGTAAGGGCTCCACCTGACCTGTGAGAGGGAATTTTCTTCCACATTACAGAAATAAAACAACAGGTAGAAGAGATGCATCACACAGATGCAGGCTATACCAAGACACTGCCTCTTTGTGCATTTGCTCAGATCAGTAGGAACTGTACTGGGAGAGAAATAATATTTATTAGTGTTAGTGACCATTGTTTTTCCATTATACATAAAAGAAACCCAAAAACCTAAAGCCAAAGTTCTAAGCTAATGAGAAGTTGTCCACTAACTGGCCTGTGCCTTGGTCTATCCTGTTTAGTCTGATTAGTCAGACTGCTGTTTGTTCTCTGTTGTCTGAGAATGATGTGAACAACTGGTCTGTAAAATAAACAGTTTCGGACCCTGTCTTCTTTCCTTACAAGAATCTGTTATTTTAAAAGCCTGCCTAGTAAAAATGTATTAAAACACCCCTAAATATATTTTTTCAGGGCATAAAACAGACTCCTTTGTTGGACTTATGGGCAAAAGATCTTTAAATTCTGGTATGTATCTGACTAAATCCGATACTTGCTGATATACAGCCTCTTCATTCCGTTGCCTGTTTGTCCTCTCCCAGCGGATGGAAGAAGCAGTTTTTACGTAGTGTAGATCCAGGGTTCTCTGAAAAAGAATCAGGATTTTCTTTGTTACCCAAGATTTTTCTGAGTTCACTTCAATGTTTGAAGTGACCAGGCTGGTCTGAGCTGTAGGCAAGCTCAGGTAGAATTCCCCAGAGCACCTTCATTGCTGCCCTGTCCTTGCATGTTCTGCTAGTCCCCAAAGTGCTAATAAAAGAAAAAACACTAAATTTTACTGACATATCAAGAAAAATTCGGAGGCTGAAAACACAAGGTCTAAACCCAGACCTCAACAAGTAAAGGGACATCTTCTCTGGAGATCTTTATTCCTAATACTTGGAGTAGAAGGTGAAAGAACAGAACTTTGCCATTAACATCACTTCATTCCGCAGATCAGGCTGTTAAACATCCAGAGTCTCTTTCAGCTTTTGACTTCACCTAAAGCATTTTAAACTCTGAATGAATACTGTGAATTTATTTTCCTATAGCATCCATAGGGCAGAATTCTCCTCTCCCCTCATGTGCAGAACCCCTGTGGGAAACTAGAGACTCCCCACAGCTCCACCTCCCTTCCCCATGCTATAGGGCCATACTGAGGAAATCCCTCACTGTGAGCCATAAAGTATCAGACGATTCCCCAGGATAAGAATTAAAAAAATATAAAACCTAATATGTATTTCATGTCTCTGAAATAGTTCTCACTGTTTTGTTAAATGGATGATAAAAGTTAAATTACTAGCTGACACCTTTATATTATGTGGATACATGCTGTGAACTATATTCTGCAATTATGGTTGTCAGTAACTTTTATTTTCAATTAAACCCCCTTCAAGACTAGTAATATTGCTCTCTGCATTATTTTGCAAATTGCTACATATCATGAATAATTTTGTACCATTTTCTGCGGTGGCAATAGCTATTAAATGCATAATACCTGTAAATATATCTGCTATCACAAAAGTAAATAGCTTGTAAGTAATAAATTTGGTTTGGTTTCCACTGGGATTACATTTACATTAATATGAGAATGTAAAATACAGACAATGTTTTTAAAAAATGCAAAGATTTTATTGCTCTAATTTCAAAATTGCTGGTATAGTTAGGATACTGTTATGTGGTATTTCTAACAAAAGGGAATAATGATGTTTTACTCTGTTGGGCTATGTAACACCTGTCTGACAGTTAAAACTAGAATTCACAGCTTTTCTGCCTGATTCCTTGAGGGGAAAATGCTAAGAAGTTTTTTTCTGCTCCACTAGAGAAGATAGGTCCAAAGGACTGTGTAATTAAAGCAAGATCCAGAACAGTAAGTGTTAGGACTACCCTCACTTCTCCCTTTTGGAAGATATCTCACTGGGCAGGACCTTTACCCCATGCTGTGGTTTTCTTCTGCAAAAGCCCCTGAGCTCCCTGGAAATGGGCAGGAGTTGATGCTGTCCCTCTGGATGTGAGCATGTTGCTGAGTTACAGCCTCGGGTGCCAAAGCAGGGTAAGGGGATGCTGGTGTCTCAGTCCCTGCTTAGGGGACAGCCTTGCTCAAGAAGGGCTCTTTGGATTTCACTCTCATTTTAAAAGAACAAGAAGGACAAATATAACCCTACTAAACATAAAATATGTTATTTAAGACTTATTATAGCCTGCAGCTTGTCAGCATGGTAGTCTGAGTACAGCTGAGGAGCTTGGCTCCTCAGCATACAGTGAAATTATCCCTGTGTGCAGGGCTTGTGGACAGGGAGTTTCAAAGAGCTGACTGCACAGGAATGAAGGTGGATATGTCTGTGCAGAAACCCTCTACCACAAATTGACCTGAATGCTTAGATCCCATCAGTTAGATTAATTACTGGGAGGTAAAAGGGCTCTGACTTAATGGTGCTCCAAGCAGCTCAGTGGACTGGAGGTAGAAAATGCTTCTCAGACCTTCAGCCTTCTGGAGGACAGTGTAGTCAGGGAGGTAAAACCAAATCACAGCAGCTCAGGGACGGGCCAGGAGCCCTGGTCTCTGTTCCAAACACACCTCTGGTGTCTGGTGGTGCCAGCTGGCTGCAGGTCTGACACTTCTCGTGCTTGCTGGTGTTTATGCAAGGCTGTACCTTGTGCTTCAGTCTGCTTCATCTTTTGCAGGGTCCTCCGAAGGGAGCATAGCACAGAATTACGAACAGAGGCGTAAATGAGACATCCCCGTGCGTTATTTATTAAACTTCATTTGTTCTAATGGCCAATGCAGTGTAATATAAACTAACCACTGTATGAAATAATTATTTATTTAATAACTGAAGGGGTTTGGTTTTTTGAGTTGTACATTCAATAAAAATATTATTTTTCATATTGTGGCAGTGACACATGTTGTGTAGGTGTGCTGTGGTTCTGAAAGGACCAGCAACCTAGTGATGTCTCACAACAAAGCACATTGTTTGATATGACCTGTAAAGTTATGTTTACTAAACAAGCAAGTATGCTTTGGTTCATTGAAATCAAGTCTATCAGCTTCACAGCTAGTGCAGAACAGAAATGATGTTCCGTCTAGTGCCTCAAATTTGTTTTCATGGTTTATAATGTACTGTAATTTCTGTATCAAAAAATATATTTGTATCATTGCAGCATGTTTTATGTTCTGTATGTATCAATATATTTTGAAAGGGGGGATGGGTAATGTTTGAATGGGAATCCAAGGTCTTCATTTCATAGTCTGGAATTTTATGATAGTAACATTTTAAATAAAAACTACTCTGGGGCTTTTGCAACATACCTCCTTTGGTGATAGTGATGGAGTTATTTCCCATGTTGGTCTGGAATGAGATTTGGATCCAAGCAACAGTGGTCTGAGACTGAAAAGAAATATCAAATTATTTTCTTTTTTGCAGGGAGGCTGTGAGCCTCCTCATGTGTGTTTGGTGAATGCTTGAGGGATTTTCTACTGGAGATAGGAGTTCCTGGGATTGCTCCAGGTCACACAAGGTGCCATCCCTTCCAAGCCTGATGGGAGTCATGAAGCATGTTGACTGAATGGAAAGAGCATGATGTATCGCCCAGCTCCAAAGGGAGTAATTTGCTGTGGAATTAATCCAATATTGTAGGTTTATTATTTGAAAGCCAAGCTCTTAATAAATTCTATCCCTCAGTTTCACAATAAAAGCACCTGTGAGCATGAATCCATGCAATATAAAAGAAAAAAAATGTGACTGTAATTATCTTTTTAATTAAAATATCTGATTGCTATGTATCCAGGATAGTCCTGAAATGCTACATCCATCTCACCAGATGCCAAGGCAGCTGGAATTCTATCTTGTTTCCCCCTGCTATGAGCTATACTTCTCTGATGCTATGATGCACACTTTCACTGCAGATGAATCACCAATAAAAGCAGTCAGTGCATTCAAACTAAATTTAAAAATAAGTAATACATAGGAATTCACTTCTTGTTGTTTTCCATTCTGGAAATGAACTTGTACACCTCCATTTTTAAGGTTACCTGAGGCATCATCAGGTAACTTCATCAACAAATCATCAACTTCCCCTCTGAGGAGCAGGTGGGTGCTGGACCTCACTCCTGCCAGGTTAGAAGCAGCACCTAAGCCTGCCCATACTTAAAACAGATCCCACTTTCAGCTGGGTAGAAGCCAGATCTAGCAAGGTCTACGTGGTGGGAAAAGTGAGGTGACATGTGGTAGGGACCACACTGATGTGAGACACTGTGGTTTTACTGGCACTCTGGCAGCTCCTTGTCTTTCCAGGGCTAATTTTCAGACCAATAAACTTCTGTATGAGCTCCCACTGAGCTCAGTGAGGAGAAGCTGACTGCTGGGCTAGCAGTGCAGCAAAAGGACTGTGGAAATCATGTTGAATAATGCTTGGTGAAGGGTAGAAAAAAAGAAAAACTTTAAAATGCTGTTATCCTTGCCTGGAGGACCCTGGTGCTCACAGAGCTCACAGTCCATGTGTACGGAATTGTGACACACAGAGAGGAATGAAAGAGCCCCACTCCTGGCAGCCTGCACATCTCAAAAGCCTCCCTGCAGAAGAAACCACTGCAAAGCCCACAAGTGCACATGGGTTTTAAGTGTTTGAAAGACAGCACAGGTACTAAATAACAGTATCCATTAAACGGACAGGACTGAACTTTCTAGAGAAACATAGAATGGTTTGGGCTGGAAGGCAACTTTAGACATCATCTAGTCCAACCCCCTGCCATGGACTGGTCTTTCACTAGACCAGTTTGCTCAAAGCTCTGACCAAACTGACACCGAACACTTCCAGGAATGGGGTATCCACAATTTCTCTGGGCAACATGTTGCTGAGTCTCACTACCCTCTTTATAAAGAATTCCTTCCTTAAAACCAATCTAAGACTACCCTCTTTCAATTTAGATATCTGATCATCTTCTTCCCCATCCTCTGTAGCTGCTCCAACAAATCCATGTTCTTCCTGTGCTGGGGAGCCTGGAACTGGATGCAGCACTCCAGGTGGGGTCTCATCAAAGCAGAGTAGAAGGACAAGATCATCCTCTCTCCCTGCAATCTGCTCTGCTTTTGGTGCAGCCCAGGATGTGCTTGTCTTTCTGGGCTGTGAGCTAGGTCATGTTGAGCTGCTCATCTGCAAAGAACCCCAAGTCCTTTTCATCAGGGTTGCTCTCAATCCATTCCCTGCCCAGCCTGTATTTATTCTTGGGATTGCCCTGACCCAGGTGCGAGACCTTTCACTTGGCCTTGCTGAACCTCATAAAATTCACTTAGGTTCACTGCTCACACCTGTAAGTCCTTCTGGGTGGCATTCCTTCCCTCCAGTATGTCAGTGGCATTTCTGCAATTCACTCTGGAAGGAAAGGCTGAGCCTCTGCCACCAAAATACTCTTCTTTTACATGTCAGTTTGTTGAGTGGTTTCAATCTGGCATTTGAAACAACTAGTTTCAATTTCTGGTGGCAAAATAATCTCAGATTTGTACTAATTTGGGCTTTGAACAGTAAATTTCAAATTGGCATTGATTTATATGTTTTTATAGACATATATTCCAATCTAGAAATAAAGCAAACACACCAAATGGCATAGCCTGAAATGTTCCAACTGACTCTACCAACAATACATTAAAAACCCTTCATCCCATTTCAGCATTGGCAGGAAAAGAGAACCCTCTTCACATTCCAGAGCTGGCAGGAATGGCTCAGCCAAGCCATGCCACACCAGGGCTGTGCCTGCCCAGCAGGTCCTGGGCAGATGTGGAGGTGCATGAATCGCACACATCTGCAGGCACCCAGTCCAGCTGCCTGTTCCTGCCACAAATTCACTCCCAACATCTTCCCATGACAATACTTGGCCTCACAGGCATTCTGGGATCCTGGAGACACAGAGGAATTATGTCTTTTATCTGCCTTTAGTCTTAAGCAATATGGTCTATAGACTACTGAGTACCTCAAAGGGAGTTTTAAAGAATTTCTGTGGTCTTTAATCTCCCTTTTAGGGCTCCATCAGCTTTTAAACACTTTTATGTGTTGGACAGCATTGCTTGCAGCCCCAGGTCATTTGTGCCTTGGGTTGCAGGGCAGTGCCCACTCTCCAGCTCCACTGCAGGCTTTGGAGAGGCTTTCACTAAATCCCTCGCTGTTTCCACCACAGCCAGCCACAACTGTGACACAGACTGAGCTCTTTTTGGTGGCAGCAGTCTGACATCCATCATGTTGCATAAGCTAATCAATAACACTGCAGCAAAGGCATCTGCCAGCAAAATGCAAGCAAGCTTTAAATAAAGCAATAAAAGTCTTTCTAGGAAATCAGCACAGAGAGTAAACCCAATGCTGATAATTGTCCCCACTGGGGATGCTATAGGCAGTTTGACATCACAGCCCACTTCCAACACATTTAGCGCCCTTTTTGCTCATTTTTTCCCCCAGAAATACATCAATCATCTGCATTGTGACATGTGGCTGCTCTTCTGGTAGGCACTGTCCCCCTTACACACAGACACTCCCCTTCACCCAGACAGGGATGTTGAACTCAAGCTCTCTCTCACAGGGCCTGTCTTGCCCAAGAGTGACACAGAGGGCCAGCAGCTCTATCCATCATCTCCGTCTCTCTGCTGTTGCATGGATGCTGTCCATGGTGGAGATGCAGCCAAACTTAACCTGGCAAGCCAAAGCCAGAGCCATTGCTCACAAACCTTGCCCATGGAATGGGGAGCTGGGAGGGGAGTCTGCCCCCCCCCCCATACCTCACTGCACCTGGGGAGCTCAGGCTCTGCAGCACTTGCCCAATTCTGGTGCCACAAACAAGTCTTTGCTCTGCTCATGCCAGGAGACTGGTATTTTTCAGCATGGTCCTAACCAAAAGAAAAGGAAGGATCTGGAAATGTCTGGGCATAGGGATCTTGCAGGAACCCAGACCCTAGCCATCTTGAGCTAGAGCAGAAAAACATCAAGAGTTTTTTTGAAAATTATTAAAATGAGTCTTTAAAATGCAGTTTATACAGAGTACACCAATAACAGCTCCTTCAGATCTACCAACAGCCATTATTCAAATGCAAACTTTGTCCCTTAAACTATGTCTCCTAAATTATGGCTGGCTGCTTTATCGTAAGAGAGACCAAGCAAGTCCCAGTGCAAACTTTGGTAATGACCAAATTCTCTTTTGATGAGCCCAAGCAATTCCCTCAGCCATAATGTTACACACTGCATTGACAATCATCTCAGAGTGACACGACAAGAGCACGGAGTGGCTCCTTCCCTGGAGTTGTACTGTGTCAGAATACGGCCACATGTCCTCATGTTGTCTGTGGAAGAGCTCACTTTCCTTTATAGAAAATACTTGTTACTGAAAGAGTAGTGATTTTTTTAATTTTTGTTTTTGGTGTTACAAACAAACAAAACAAACGAAAAAGTGAACAAATATCATTGAACCTCCATCCTTCAGGGAAGAAAAAAAGACTATCTGTGCATTATTCTTTTAATATTTTTCATAGAGACTGAAACATTTGTCAGGGGGACAGACTGTGTGAAATTCATTATGATATTCATAAAAAATTATCTCTGTGCCATTCCTGATAGACATCTGATTTCTGTCAGAATAAACCAGCTCAGAAACTCCTTTTTAAAGAGAGGAATACAGAGCATGTGCAAAAAGCATCACCTCTTGTTTTTTACCTGCATCTCCAAATTAAACAATGTTACCACTTACTGCATATGGAAGAAATTAAATGTAAACAGACAGTTAGACAACAAAACACTTCATCTGTCATGGTGCTTCACGCTCTCCCAGAAGCCTGGAGAGAGGAAGCCCAGCAAGGTGAGATGTCCAGAAGTAAGAACAGTGGCTGAGCTTGAAATGCAATGCACACCATGTACATAATCAACCACTTCTGCAGTGTGCTACCGAAGTGCAAAGAAACTTCACAAATTATAAAGAATAATGTTAAATGCTAAGAAAATATTCTGGCGGGGGGGGGAAGTGCCTTTTCAGGTTTTTTTCCTATCTAAACCATTTCCTATGTTTTATTTCAGCAGCATAGCTGTTAAAGAGTTAAAGGATACACCTGCACCAACATATCACAGAAGATTCTACATTGAAAAAGACCCTTAAGATCATCAAATCAAACAAATGTAACAATGGAGACACCACCTGAAGGCATGAGAGTGGAACTGTGTTAACTACGTAGAGAACTGCATAAATTCATGCCTTATATTCTCAGTCAGAGCTGGAGTGCCTCAGCACCAATACATGTTAACACATCTTCAGCATTTTATTTTCATGAAATAGTTAG